TAGTTCTAGTATATAAAGCTGTACACGGCCCGGCACCCAAATACCTTGTTGATTTGGTACAGCCATATGTTTCAACTCGGGCCCTTAGGTCTAGCACTGAAAACCTACTCGTGGTACCCTGGGTCAGACTCTCCACGGTGGGCGGTAGGGCTTTTAGTGTTGTTGGCCCTAAGCTGTGGAATAACCTGCCCCCAAATCTTCGTGCGACCGACAACATCCGGACCTTCAAAAAACAACTTAAAACTCATATCTTCAAGCTTGCCAAATAAATCAGTATCCTCATCACTGCTTTCTCTGTTCTTCACTTTTCCAGCTCTATTTGCTACATTCTTCGCCGTAATTGTATATTTTGATAAATAATACAATATGTCTTTCTTTGATTCATGTCAATCAGTGTATGCTTGTTTCCATCTGTTTTGTCTCTCATAAGCAGATGGCCTTTGTATTTGTTTGCTTGTTGTTTGTTTGCTATTTGTATTACATTGTGAAGAGACCTTGGGTTCTTGAAAGGCGCTATAGAAAATAAACATAATATTATTATTAATTTCTACAGTGAACAAAAAGTGTTATTTTACATTTAGGCTTAATTATTAATTTCTGTACCTGAATACTATTCTTAGACTTTGTCTTTGTTATTTAGTATTCATCTCTGCTTGTAATTTTGGTATTTGTTCTTATTTTATTACTGACTGCGGACTTGTTTTTAATAATGTTTGAACTTCATCAGTTAGGCTAGAAGTTTTTTTGATGTGGTATCGAAGAACTTCAAGTGAGCTTTAAGTAATAAATGAAAAGCAAAGTTACATTGATTGATACGTTGATGTTCTCTTTGTTTTCTGTTGTCTTATTTACACTAAATGGATAGTTCCCCCCAAAATGAAAAGTGGCAGCATGTTTACTATTAGGCTACTGTCGCTTTAAGACCTGGACACATCTAATATACAGGAATGACACGCACTCGATTTTCTCTCAAATGTTTGCTTTCACTTTAGACATAACCAACTGTGTTTATGTAAATCTTGTGTGTGCGCAATAAGACTCGAAAGATAACTTAGTCCAGTAACCAGGCGCTGTTTGACAGGCTTTTAGTGCCTGTGCGCTTCGGGTGTATGCATTCAGAAAAGCACATGTTAGAACAGCGCATCAGAACGCGAATGAAATGTTTATCCGGCAAAGCACATGCAAATAATGAACTTTTGTGAATTGCGGTGTCCCATGAGTGTCACTCTACCTCTGCGTTAACAAGTGATGTGAATGTATGTTGCGTCGTGAGATGGAGGCACCAGAACTGCAACTGATAGAATGCACTGTAGCACGATACTACGATATTTTTTCAAAAGCAAATCGTGGAGACATTTTAATCGCCCACGATCAAAAATCGTGATATCGCACACCCCTAGTCCACAGACAACCTGTACATACTAAGTCAAACTATCAGCTACTAAGCGAGACACTGCTTAAAGAGTTTACAGGCATGGAGTCTAAAAATGTACTGTTAACTGTCTAAAAAAAAAAAAAAAAAAAAAGGTCGACAAGAAACTCACATTCTCCATCTTTATTAGTTATGGTCTTTTTTTAACAGTTTTGTCTTGCGTAACTAAATTGAACAGTTAAACAAAGAAGGTAAACTGTATACGAAAGAGTATCATAGCGTTTGCTTTTACAGATATTATTAGTAACAGAAAGGCAAACACTATTCATACGTTCTCATTTACCTTCAGCATTCAGCAAATGTGAATTTATATAATTTAAACAAATCTTTGAATATCTAATAAACATTTAATTTCACAAACCTTGCAGGCTTATTGGAATTTAGTAGTCAGATCTTCTGAAGTGCACATTTGTAGCCTGCCCGTTTGAATTGAATGCGGACAGGAGAGTTCAGCTTCACTGGAGACGCACGCACAAACTGTGAACCCTTGATTTCAAACTATGCTGCGCTATATTTAGTAGCCCGCTATGCCATATTCATGTCATTTTCACTCTGCTGTATGTAATATTAGTGATACCTTGTCTATATGAAAATAATATGATTGTGCACAAACTTAGATTACCGAGTGCCCTATTAGTTACAGTGTTTCCTTTTTATAAAAAAAAATTCAAAATGTCTTTATTTGTGAAAAATACTGTAATATGATTGCAGAATCAAGAAGTTGCAATTTAAAGTCTGTTTAATTTAGAGAATTATATATTTTTAATTCAATTTCAAATTATGCATTTAAATATGAATTAAAATATATAGGCTTTATATATAAACCAGGACCCCGCAAAGCGTATCTTAGAGAGTGCAAATTAGTGCCTGCCTGGCGGAAAAAATACGTTTTAAACGTGCTCATATTTGAGAGAATGTAGTTAATATTTACGTTATTAATGATTTATCATATCCATCCATGACCCACCTGCAATTAATCAGAATATGTTTTTATAACTTGACCCGCCCGATCTGCGGATTATCCGCAGCTCCCGCGGATTTAACCGCGATCCGCGCATCAGTAATACCATGCTCTTTAAATAATCAGCATCGGCCATTAAAAAACTAATATCGGTCAACCACTAGTTTAATGACTATATTGACAACTGATTGTTTAATGCAGTACTGTGTTTTAAATTGTGCAAATAGATAAGTCCATATGCTTGTTCCAGTCTGGATATTCTCGATAGTATATCTCAAAATTGGGAAGATCGCGATTCAAATCATAGATTGTGATTGTTTGTTATAAGATCATGATATTAAATTTGGGGAAGATCGCCCACCCCTACACCTACCACACCAACTGCTGGGAAAAGTCAGGGGACGAGCCATACTTCAAGAAACCCAAAAGACAACTGGAAAAACCTAGCTGGACATCCAAAGGCGATCAACCAATGCATTCAAAAGCATCCAATGTGGGTAATCGATGACGAAACCTACCTAGACACCATTCAGTTAAGCACAGCACTGATGCCCAAGAACAAGAAAATATATAATAAAAGACATGGAACCACTAATGAGGCAACTGAAAGTTTTAAATCAAAAACAAGCTAAACATGGATGAGCACAAAGATGAGTAATGCTCGTTATGACTAGCGATGGAACGGCCAATGATCATCTGGTAAACCTTCATAATGAAGATGATTGTTTCACCTGTTCTACAACAACACATAACAAAGGTGTCTCTCACAGCCAACCACCAACGAAAACCCAGAGGTACCAGAGAAACCCATCCTGGTCACGCATCACTCACAAAGAAACCACTAAATGAGCCCCAAACTCAAGAACCATGTTTATGCAACAGTAACCACAATAAGAACAGAAGGTCAGAAAGTCTGCCACCACCAGAAGGCATCAGAAGAGGAATGCTATGTAGGAGACAAAGTTTTGCACTACAGCTCTACACAGCCATGCCAAAATACCCCCCACTGTCTGCCAAATAACTTCCTGCCTTACAGGACTGACTCCCGTCAGATCATGGATGATCCCTTGTTCAAGGCAAAGATGAAAAAAACCCATCGAAACTAAACCGGGAATCACATGGGTCAAACCTTCAAGAAAAGTGGGGATCAACACAGACTGAAACAGATCTGACCATACATCCATCAGATCATGGATGATCCCTTGTCCAAGGCAAAGATGCAAAAAGTCAAATCGAAACTCACCTGGGAATAAACATGGGTCAAACCTACAAGAAAAGTGGGGATCAACACAGACTGAAACAGATCCTACACTACACTACACTACACTACACTACACTACACTACACTACACTACACTACACTACACTACACTACACTACACTACACTACACTACACTACACTACACTACACTACACTACACTACACTACACTACACTACACTACACTACACTACACTACACTACACTACCATGGAAAACATTCAACAAACATGTTCTTCCCACAGGTAGAAACTAGCTTCAGAAAGGAAACATGTAACTATCCACCCAACAAGTAAAACACCTAACATTAAGCTTTGGTACATGACACCTTAGCTGTGCAACTGTAGTTGTAAGCCATACCAAAAAACACTCAACTGATTTGTTTTGTTTTCGTCTCTTCCTTTATTAGGTAAAATGGCTGTCTACCCCATAAGGGTCAAGGTAATGATATTAAGATTGACGCACCACACCTAATATCTGTAATATCCTAATATCCACCTTAAAATCGAATGTGAGAGAGAGAGAGCTCCATGCACATCCACATTTTTACCACAAATGATGTCACCAGAAAATGAGGTAAACTGTCTCAACCTAGAAAATTTCTCCCAAGACACCATTGCATGAAAAGACCTCCTGCAAATCAACGAACCTGAAAACCAAGGACGCCAACAAATTGCTAACAAATAGTGCTACCGTGCTAATAAATAGAGTTTTCACTATAGTTTGGATATTAATATCTGCTACAGAGTTTATAGTTACGGCCAATTCAAATGAACACTGGATGATTCTTTGTTCGGCTGTAAAAAAATAAGTAATTCTTTCAAAATTCCCTATAAATTATTAATAATCCTTTGAGCTAAATTGACCTGTTTCCAAGCACACAGACTGTTTATATACTAATTTAGCAAAAACATTTTAAGTATTTAACCCAGAATATCCTTTTAAAGGAAGCTTGTGGAGGTCCATGTCATTACCTTCTGATAAGGATACACATCTCAGAGGGGACCATTAGCAATACAAGAATACAAACAAGCCATTTCATAAGATGCCTAACCAAAACATGGCATATTTTCTACTTCTACATTCTCAATTGTAATATTTAATCCCATTAAAACTGGCAACATGCGTGCAATCAGCATGGGATAAAGCTCAGAGTAAGAGGACAGACATCAGGATGTCAATAACTCTGCTGGAGAGTCACCTCTTGTCAGCTGAAGGCAAGGTAAACTGCCAACATATAATTTACAGTCTATTTTTAGCTATTATAGCAGGTAACAGGAAATAAAATGGGATTTTAGAAAACTTGTCTTTCCTAAAAGCCGTATTGCAAAGATAAATGGGCATACCAAGACGTGCAGCCAGGCCCAACAGCCATTTGACGTCTTCTGTGTACGGGGGGCTACGGGAAAAGTTGTTCGGATGATCGTTGTGGGCCCTTCTTCCCAACATCTCCAAGGCCAGCATACCTAAATAAGGACAGGAACATTTCGCCATCAACACTCTGTACTGTACGACACTGTACTGATCAAGAATTGAATTGACACATGCACCCAAACATCCTAATCTCCAGGACTTATGAGTACTGATAGAACGGAAATCATGCCTTAATTAATATTTCTCACTGTGAGAGTTCTTTGTGAGTCCTGCAACATGGACACAACCGACCTCTCCCTCACCTCTCTTGATAATTAATCACCACAATTCAGGACCAGATGGATCCTAATGGGTGCAAAACAGCAACATAAGGACAGGCAAGCCATGCCCTAATGGATCTATGTAATTAGAAATCAGGCGTCCTTACCGACTCTGTAGGCCGAGTGGAGGTAGTGCAGGCCCTGCTGGCTGATTGGTTGACTGTGCTGCTCGTCTTCCACAGGGAATGGTGCACTGACCAGCGAGGCGGGCTGGGACGAGAGTCCTGGAAGAGAAGTCCCCTGAATGGCCTGGATGGTGGCGCCTGAGTGTACTCCTGCTGCTGGGCAAAAAAGGGGAGAGGATGTTCAGGGGTGTCTATGAATTTGCAAACTGTCCAATGCCTTCCCAACAATTTCTGGTAAACTGGTAAGAACTGTTATGAACTTTTGTCTGCACTGAGTTTAAGGTGCACTAAATAACTATGCTTAAACTAAATAACTCAACTATGGTCTATGCTTTCAAGATGGCGCCATTCAGTTGTTTTACTGTTTTTGTTAGTTTGTCCTGTTTTTTGTTTTTCTTATACAATCAGTTTCACCAGGGATGAACTGCTGAACATTCGGCAGGACACACAACCCAATCTTCTACAGGTTTTCGATTATTCTGACGTTTTGCTGAACATTGTAGTTTGAGGAGCAGCAGCGCTGCCCAAGCACTCTAGGACGCACAAGCATGAGCCATAAATCTAGTCAAACTCAGACATCGCGGCTTTAGAACCACGCTGCCTAGTATGCATCTGGCACTTCTCTCCTGAATCAAATAAGGACTTTTAAAACTCTGCAGCTCTGTGTTTCACAGAAACGTGGCTGAATGGAGCCATTCCGTTTTTCTCTTTCATCCTCATAAGTGTTTACATTCCATAGCAAGTGCATGTGAGTGCAGCACTGCAAAAGCTGGCTGATCAGATCACAGAGCAGTAACACCCAGACTCTCTTATTATTAATCTTGGTGACTTTAATCAAGCAAACCTCACCCTTGAACTGCCAAAATACAGACAACACATTACATGCCCTACCAGAGAAAAAAATATTTTGGACCACTGCTACACCACAATAAAGGATGCACATCGGTCCATCCCTAGAGTAGCTTTAGGACTCTCGATCACTGTCTGGTTCATCTTATACCGACCTACAGGCAGAAACTGAAATCAGCTAAACCTATAATAAAGGACTGTTAAAGGATGGACTAAAAAAAGCAGAGCCTGCTTCAACTGCACTGATTGGACTGTTTTTGAAGCTACTGCCACTGATTTGGAAAACTCACAGATTATGTCCAAAACCATACATCAGTTTCTGTGAGGATATGTGCATTCCTACCAGGACTTATTTAACATACAACAATGCCAAACCATGGTTCTCAGCGAAACTCCGACAGCTTCGCCAGGCCTAAGTTGATGCCTGTATGAATGGGGAAAAAATCATGCCATCCCCCAATTCTGTAAGGAATCATTCAGGCCGACAACCTGAATGATTTCTACAGCAGATTTGAAAATCAAAGTCTCACACCCCACACCCATTTTGACAGTCTCTCTGCACAACAATCAACACATCCAGTAACCCCACTCTCCCCTCTTCTGCACTTCAGATCAGTGAAGACTCGGGTCGGGAAACAGGGAAAGCACCAGGCCCAGGCGGTGTCTCACCAGCCTGTGCTGTCCAGCTGGCCTTCATCTTCTCTCAGATCTTCAACAGATCACTGGAGGAAGTCCCTTCCTGCTTCAAATGCTCCACCATCATCCCCATCCCCCCCAAAAAACGAATTCACTACAGACCTGTCGCTCTCACGTCTGTGGTCAAAGTCGATTGAAAGACTGGTGTTGGCACACCTGAAGGAAATCACAGGATTCCCTTATTTAGCAAACAGGTCAGAGGATAATGCACTCAACATGGGACTGCATCACATCCTGCAACATCTGGACAAACCAGGGACTTATGCAAGGATCCTGTTTGTGTATCTCATCTTGGCCTTCAACACCATCATCCCAGCAGTCCTTCAGACTAAGTTAACCCAGCTCTCTGTTCCTAGCTCTATTTGTCAGTGGATCACCAGCTTTCTGACAGATAGGCATCAGCTAGTCAGGCTGGGGAAATTCACATCCAACACCTGCACAATCAGCACAGAGGCTGTACTTCCTTCACCAGCTAGTTCAACCTGCCACCGGTGCTGCTGATGCAGTTTAACTCAGCTGTCATTGAGTCTGTCCTCTGCACTTCCATAACTGTCTGGTTTGGCCCTCAGCTACAAAATCAGACACCAGAAGATGTACTCATCCAGAGTGAGGAAAAGGGCTCAGAAAATCACTCTGGATCCCTCACATCCAAGTCACTTTCTCTTTAAACTGTTGCCGTCCAGTCGGCGCTACAGAGCGCTGAGCGCCAGAACAGCCAGGCTACATCATGAACATGTATAGGGTATACATACAGTTCCACTAGCCCGAACTGAATTTAGAAAACAAGCTTTTCGGTATGCGGCACCCAGTGATTGGAACTTTTTACAAAATGGAAGAAACAATTTGTAAAAAAAACAAAAAAAACAAATTGATGTGTTTTTAATGTTTTTTGTTTTGTTTTGTTTTTTGATAATGTTGTAATGCTCATCTTGGCCAGGTCAATTCTGTAAAAGAGATTTAAATCTCAGAAAGTTTTATCTGGTTAAACAAAAGGGCAAATAAATGAACAGTTAAATGCACCCACTGGGCAATGATAAATATGTGCGCAATACCACTTATATTTATTTTGAAAATTAACCTACCTCTGATTCCATTCCCCGTTAATTCTATTCTATTCTGTTATATATAGCACACCTGACCTGTACATAATTTTTCTATTTTTGTTTATTTATATATTATACTGTATGTATGTATATATATATATAGGCTAGCCTACTTCGTGATAATATTCAGCAAAACAGCTCCCTGGTCATGTTATGTAAATAGCCTAAATCATACGTTATACGTTTATTTTTTTAACATTTTGAATTTTTACCTCAGTATGTTTCTTCTGTGAGATTATTGTGTGCTGTTGCGCTCATTTGTTTTGATTTCTCTACGAAAGAAAGTCTCTCTCACAAGAAGACGACAACTCACTACTCGTACCAGCTCGCTCAGCGCTCAAGGCGCCCCCGCCCGATCGTGATATTACTGACAAATTGCTCATGTTTCTTATTTGTAATTTGCTTTAGTTAAAATTGTCTTCAAGCTACATTAATAAAATGTAATTTTGTACATGTAATATTTGTCACCCATGATTAAATAATATTGATAGACATCTCTCAATTACATCCATTTTTGATTCAGGGAGGCACAATCCAATTCTAAAGTGATTCCTGGTGCATTAAAATGTTTTCTTACGGACTATTCTGTCATGTAAAAACAATTTTGTCTCTTGTCTTGTCCTGTGACAGAAGGCTTTTTATGCTCTAATTCAGAGGAAATTAGTAAATCCACACTAAATCAACTTTTTCTCTGTCGGTGTTGTTGCTGAAGAACACTGAGGCCATTTACATTCCTTATAAATGAGCTATGAACAAAACAAAATATCCATAAAATTGAATAAATTATTCTTCAAGATCAGCAACATTCACACTTGTATGAACTTCATGACACTTGTTTGCAGCACGCAAGATGTGAACTGCCACTCTCTGGTAATGCAGTGAGCAGTAATAGTGACATGATGCAAGCAAAATTGTTAAGGCTAACTGTAAAAGGCTAAGCGAACTAGATAGTAAATGAGTGTCTAACCAATTGTTTCAAAATACCATAATTTTTTGCGTTCCCATTTGCTCCAATGAGATGGCCTTAAATAGTCATTTTATTCTATGTAAGTGCAAATCATTTTAAATGCAGATATTAAATCTGACGAAAGTAGTGTTCATTTCTTGCAAATTGCTGTATATTGTAAAACTGCATTTATTCAGAATTATTTTAAATAACATTAGATATTATGCCGAAAGTTGTGTTCATGTTAAGATGGAATTGAGCTTCTACAACCAAATTGTCCTCACCTGCCACAGTAGTGCTAAGAGGCAGGGCTGCCTCTGCAGTATGGTATGGGTGGACAGCAATCTGAGTCATGGACGGCACTGGAACGCCAGGGAAAGTGACAGCGGTTGCTGCCATAGGAGGATGAGGGCCAGTGGCCACAGAGAATGGGTACTGAGCACCAATAAAAGCAGGGTGCATTCCCTGAGAAGACAAACAGATGCTCTTAAAACCAGCTTGATACGCCTTCCTCGAGTCATATACCTGCCATTGAAAAATTAAAACCACAAAATTAAGTTAAACCAAGAACATAGCTGTAAAGATCATTATACATGTATAAACAAACTGGTATGAGTCTCTCCATTTATATTCTGCCAGGAATGTCATGCTATGCATCAATGACTGCCAAGTAAGCGTCTGCATTAGAGCTTAAATTTAGAATTAATTACCTTTAGTTAAATGCAGACAAATAATACTACAGATTGAAATAAAAATCAATCTGTAGTATTAACACAGGTAATTGAAACCCATAATCATTTCAATAGGAAATGAACAGCGCTCATACCTGTGGGTAGGCTGTCCCAGAGACGGGGAAGACGGCAGGACGGGGGACATGCTGAAGCGGGTGGCCCAGGTACTGCGGGGTGCAGACGGTGGGCAGATGGGTTTGGATGGTGGTGTAGGGATGCAGACCTGCCGTGTGTGCCATGGCTGAGCCCGGCAGCGCATGTGACTGGTATATGGTGGAGCCGACGGAAATGACAGGTACTACGGCGGCTGCCGTCACTGTCGTAGTTACAGCCGAGACACCTGATGAATCCAAGACTCCGGTGTTATCCAGGATACTGCAGCCTCCCTCGGGTGCCGTTCTCCTTGCTCCACCGTTGGCCCCGCAGCGGCCGGAACCCTCTCGTTGGGCCCCTGAACCACCACCCACTGTTTGCTCGTACAGCCAATACCACTGGTGAGCCACCTCGAACAAGACCTCAGGATATACACCGCCTCCCTTTGCAGCCTCCTCAACAGCCATGCAAGCTTTCTCTAGCATCACATTATCCTGAAGAGAGAACAATGCAGAAAAGTGTTGTTTAAAAGCAACAAGCAGATGACTTTTAGAACATTAGATTAAAAATGGATTGTGATCCAGTGGCTATGTATAATGAATGTGGTCTGTGCTGGACAATACCTGCTCCTTGCACTGCACTAGAGCTCTCTGAATCTCGTTGGGGTTCAGGGCATGAGCGTGAGGCAGGCAGCTCAAGGCCAGCTCTGCCGCAGCACGCACCATGTTGGGATCACGTGCTCTTGATGCGCGGTCTGCGAGTGACGCCACCTCCGGAGGAGTAAGGTGCCCGTCCCAGCATTCCACCAGAATGTTGAGGGCAGCACTTCCAATCTCCATGGCCTGGCCTGTGCAAACACGACAGAAGAATTCAAAATCAAACAAAAGGCAGGTTTGCCCACCCATTTGTTAGAATACTCTTGTATTAACTTCATATCCATCCATATCTATCTACTTATTAGAGCTGCACGATTAATTGTTAAAAAGATCCTGATCTCAATTCAAACACTAGAGCTGTGTTTGATTCATCGATACAACGATGTAGTGTCATCACATGGTACTTGGCGATACGAGTATCAATACAGCTGCTTCTGTATCCATTCTGCAGCATGTGCGCAGCAGTGGGCCACGCTTAATTTGAATACAAGAACAGAGTTTTAAACGGCGTGGTAATTTCCTGAAATTAATGAATATAATATAATATAATATAATATAATATATAGGTTAGAACAAGGTTTTAATCTGGCGATCAGAGGAACATAACTGGGGTTGCCTGATATTAAGAGACGTAATCCCCGAGCTTCAAAATCTTCTAAATGTTTTACTTATTTTTCTTAACCTGGTAACCATGTGTACACACTCTGTCTCTGGATAAAAGTGCTGGCTTTCTGAAAACACCGGTAAACTTGCAGTTTAGCAATCTGCAGTTCGATATTCTATTCACAGAAAAGTGTAATACATCAAGTCTGTGTTCATTTATGGGCCTGAGAGAGAGAGAAAGATTGTACATGTATGAATTACCTTGTTCCTCTATTAACAGTGAAGCGCCGGTGAGTTTAAAAAAACGCTTTGAAAACTTCAAAAAGTGCTTCAAAAACAGTGAAGTTACGAACTGCTTGCTGAGAAAGATAATGTAGCTCTTCAGTGCTGAAGCTATTTTATCAATAAAAATTGCAGAGCAGCGTTGAGAAGTTTCTGTGTTGCTGAATGTTTCTGTGCACGCACCGCTCGCGATCTGTCCGAATGTGTGCTTGTGAGCTACAGTGAAGAAAGCGCATTACAGACTGCTTCTAATTTTTCGGAGAGTGTGTTAATTAGTGCAATGATAACCTATCAGCAATGTAAAGATGATTTTATTAAAATATTAGAATGAGTAGGCTACATTACAATATAAATTTATTAGAACGAGTACATTTTTATTTGTGCTTAAAAAACAAGAAAAACTATCAGAATATTGTACGTGGTGGGGAGTGCCCAATGTTAACATGAAACTTACTCCAATACCTATATTGTTATACAGTGCTAGAGAGGCCCTTCACAATGCAGAGGGCAAATGTTCGGTCTTCAAGCTATCAGTTTGCAATGGCCCTATAGTATGCAGTTTAATAAACAGCTGTTATACAAAATTCTCCTGAGGTGAAATTTAGTGCAGACCCGTATTGTGATGTATATCGTAACGTGGCATCTGTATTGTTATATGCATCGCATTGTGACTTTGTTGCTGATACACAGCCCTATCAAACACCCACATGATCTTATTCCTAAATGACAACTATTCGCCTGTGTCTATTAAACCTTTGACAAAATCACACCGGAACATTCAAATCTGCATTGGTGCTGCCGCTGACCCGGAGAGAACAGATGTCATGCATAGGCATGAAACAGCTTCACAAACATCCATCCATATCTACCTATCTATATCCATCAATCCATACATGAGCCTGGAAGATTAATATACTCTAGTATACGTAGTACTATAGTTCTCCATACTGAATTGATACTCTAAAGCCAAGGATATGAATTTTAAAGATTACATTCGCATTTCAAGTGGACAATAAATCATTTTGAAGTTTGTGATCCCTGAAGATTACACAATTATCTCTCACCTGTAATCCAGGATACATGTGAGGAATACGTCCTTGACAGCCAGTTAGGAGACACAAAATTATGGAGGCCGAGGGCATACAGGCCAATCTCAAAGGCACACAGATGCAGGTTGCGGTGAGGCCCCTGGTGGCCTCCACTGGCAGAGGGTTGAGTGAAAATGGAGGTGGAGCTGTTTCCTCCAGCTTTAATCAGCACAGTCTTGGCCAGCTCAAAGTAAAAATGGGCAGCTGCCTCAGATGGCTGGTTGGGCACGTGTGGAGCATGGCATTCAGGCCGGCGGCCTTTATACCTATAAAGAGAGAAAGAGACAGTGTGTGTCATAAACAGCAGATTTAGAGGATCAGAGAATCTGTTCTGATTTTGAACTGAAACAACTTAGTCAATGAACAGGTACTGAAGTAGTTGTGTTTGTTAAGGGCTTAAAAGAGATGCCGATGGACAAGCACCAAAAACCGAGACCAAACCCACATAAGGGGAAATGAGGGCAAAAAGACAGGTTCGTCTCACCTGCTGGTGTCAGTACTCTTGGCTCTGGCTCCTCCTCCAGCTCTGCGTGAGCCACTGGATGACGATGAGCCAAGTGAATCAGATGAAGAGCTGCTAATGCTATCACTGTCCTGGCCTCTCCCCCAGGAAGCAGCTGTCCAACCCCCTCGAAGTGGGCGTCGACTGAGAGTAGGAGAGCTGTCTGAGGTGGTCTCTGGAGCGCTGCTGTCAATGCTTGCCATGCCTGAGAAAACATGTCAGAAAGAACACCTTTTTACACTCAAAATTCTTTATGCATAGTTAAAAATAATAACTTTAATTAATATATGCAAATTAATATATTATATTTGGAAATATACAATTTTTTACAAATAATTAGTGCTGGGCAACGATGAAAAAATTTAAGCGCGATTAATCGCATGATTTTCTTGCGATTAATCGCATTGTTACGCGCAAAATTGAATAATGAATTCTAAAGTAGTGTATTGCGCACTTTTGATTTAAATGTACTGCTACAAAAGTGCAATAACATGTGGTTTGCAAAAACTTTAAACAAATAAGGTGCTTTTATACCAGCAGTATTCCCTTTACACAGTATCAATAAAATATTTCTTGTAAATCTCAACTTAAACATTAATGTAATCAAATCAAATATTTAAACAAAGCTATCTTTTATCTAGCTTGTTAAAAGAGTCCAGTTTTCTTTTTCTTTTTTTTCTCAACAGGTATCTTGTAACAGGGAGCAGCAGAAACAGTCTATGTAGTCAAAGGGTCATGATTACTACAGATCGAGTCGAGTCAGTCGACCAACGTTACTTCTCTGATAGCAGCTTAGGTTTGGTCATGGCATGCCATGGTTTCCCACGAAAGATTAGATTAAACAATGGTAAAGCCCAATTTATACTTCTGCATCGAACTCACGCCGCAGCTGTGTAGCGCGCGTACCCTGACGTGCATCTCTCCAAAAATGTAACGTCAATTCTACGCGTACCGCAAGCGCTGTGATTGCTAGAACCGCTCCCCGGGTTTCACACTCTCCCTCTGCATGTGTAATTGAGCGTCAACGCGGACAACGACGCAGATATATAAATGAAAACCAACGCGTAGTCTATAGCGTAGAGGCTCCGGCGTAGGTCCGACGCAGAAGTATAAATCAGCCTAGAGTGAGGTGAAGTGGTCGAGCACAGGTGCAGCGACAAGCGGGGGCGTTCCTGTGAAACTGTTGCAGTCATGCTCGCCTCACGCAAGCGCCCGCGCGTTGCCGAAGTTGAATTGTCTAACAACTTTTTGTACACGACGCGCAGCACAAATCATTGGAAGAGAGACTGATCCTCGGCCCGCTGTTTGTGAGTTTCCAGAATCTAAATAGTTATCAGGACATCAACAGGAGGGAATTCACATGGCAGAGCATCCCCGCTAAACTAAACGCAGGCCTATCAGGTAAAGTTATGTATAATTTTAATTTAAGTTAAAAAGGCTACAGCTGCGTAGCGCACAGAAGCCGTTGCCATGGTTACTATCCATAGAGCGCCTGTCATTCACTCGCGGAGCGCTGTCTCCCTTTCTGTTCACCTGAGAGAACCTGCCAAAGCCCCTCCACTGCTTGTTTGTGTGGGTTATTTGCTGGCTGACCAACATCCCACCCCTCCTGTGATCATGGTTTGACTGTAGCCCTATGTGTATTCAGAGCCAGTGAGCAACGGACTTTCAAAATAATAATAATTAAAAACTGCGTTAACGCGCGATAAAAAAATTGTCGGCATTAATTAATAAATACGTTAACGCGATAATAACGCGTTAACTTGCCCAGCACTACAAATAATATATTATTAAATAACTATTTAAAAAAAGTGTGTGAATAATGGGTGAATTGATCATCTTTGCAGTGATCTGTGCACTTCATTTTTATGTCACGAGAGGTCATAGGTGCTGCATCAAATAAACTCTTCTGTCTAATTAACAAACACACTGTCTCCTACCAGTGTGTTTCTTTTTCTGTCGTACAGGTGATCCCCAGCAGCGTGTGCCGTATGCCCCGCGGCCCCCCAGTGCCAGACGACTGGGCACTGTGCCTTCAGGCTTGAAGGGTGCAGCTTCGCTTTGCTGCTCACAGGAGGTCGACTGCGCACCCTCTGCAAAAAAAGAAAGAGGGATAAAACTTCTTTTTTTTAACTAGGTCACTTCAAACTCCACAGGGACCCAAGACGATAATATTTAAGCAATGAATTTCCTTCTGAAATCGAAGTGTCTACCCATGACACTTTGTGGATGTAGTTCACCTTGATCTCTGTTGTCAGAGATGCCCTCTCCCGTTGCTGTGCTCTGAACTCCGCCAGCCGCTAAACCTCCCTGCTGCCCTGCCGCTCCCCCGCCGGTCACGCCCTGCACAGCAGCTGATGTTGCTGAAGGGGTGTGCTTTGACACTCCCCCCACGGCTCCGCTGGCACCATGGGTGGCGTGTTTGGATGGGCTCTTTTGGCTGCTGGTAGCTGGTTTGCTAGAGTAAAATGAGCTCAGAGTCTGAGGCTTATGGGTCTGGCTCTCACGGTCAAGGAGTTTGTCCAGAATCTACACAAAGATGAAATCAGAAATGAATACAAGACATTTACTGCATTTCACACGATATCTTGGCTTATGCTTCATTACAAACATTTTATTTGAGAGACTAAGGCCTTGTTTACATCTGGTATTAAAGGGATAGTTCACCCAAAAATGAAAATTAAGTCATTAATTACTCACCCTCATGCTGTACCAACCCCGTAAGACCTTCGTTCATCTTCGGAACACAAATTAAGATATTTTTTATTAAATCTGAGAGGTGGATCACTCCTCCATAGACTGTGTAGTAGAAGAAGAACGTCAGTTCTCACGCATGCTTCCAGGAAATCTCTTGAACTCTCGTCTCAGGCCCACAAGGAAGCAATGGAATAGTCGAATAAAGTCGTTATTTTTGGGGGTTTTCCGCACAAAAAGTATTCTCGTCGCTTGATAAACTTATAGTTGAGCCACTGTAGGCACATGAAATATTTAAACATTTTCTTCAATGACTTTCTGGGCCGTCAAGTTGCACTCCCTTAGGAAGCCTATGTAGCAGTGATCCAGCTCTCAGATTTAATCAAAAATATCTTAATTTGTGTTCCGAACATGAACGAAGGTCTTACGGGGTTGGTACAGCATGAGGGTGAGTAATTAATGACTTAATTTTCATTTTTGGGTGAACTATCCCTTTAAGATGCGTTTTGGTTGATTGGATCACAAACTTGTCCACTTTCAACCACTTCCAGAGGTTGTTGAAAATGCATTTGAGCAGATGGCTTTCGTAGTGTAAAAACTGATGTCGTCAGATGTGTTCGAACAGCCACAAAACTAGAGCTGGGTTTCGATTCAAATTTCAAGAATCGATTCGATTCGATTCCGATTCTCAAGATCTTGAATCGATTATCATTATTCGATTCGATCCGATCGTACCGATTTTCGAGATTTAGATCAGTGTTTTTGTTTTTTTCCAGCTGTTACCTGAATTACAGGACTGTAGTTATGCAACATATTGATACTATTAGGCTATTATAGACATTTAACTGCTTGTTTTGAACTTCATGCATGTGTATTGAATGTTAAACAAGTTCATAATGATAACAAACAAGAATGTTTATCGTGGTGATTTGTAGCCTACAGAGGCTTCGCACAGACAGTGAATGAGAGAGATCGGCAGAGCGCGTGCGGATTACCTGCGTCTGTCTTTGAAGTCATATGCATTCGTGAAAAAGGTTGCCGTGTCAAAGGAAAGCGAAATATTTGTTGTATCATCCTTTTAACGTTCACGTCACGGGTATTTACCATAAATGCGCGTCAGGAGCAGCGCTGGTCACCATTCCACAGCGCGAGGAAGCCGCGGGGAAATAAAATCAGCGAGTCACGCATTGAATCAATGCCATATTGGTCTCTAATAAGTGAAGCATCAGCTTCAGCGTTACCCATGCGACGCATTGCTGCTCAGCTGAGCCTTGAAAAGTGGAACTCAAAGTTAAAAATAATTAACACCTTGTTTCATTACATCTCTTTTAATGAATCAGCTTTTTTGAACGTGTTCGTTGAATGAACGAATGACTCACTCAAAGCCCGTTGTTGTAACAGTGTGCGCGCTGAGTGAAAGCCTTTCAATGCGCATACAGGGATCTCCCAGTCGCGGCAAGTTAAAGTTCACGGGGAAAATGTAAGCCTATTATTAAATCAATCCTCTGAGTTACCTTCTTTAGAGATCTTTAGAAATTAATATGAAAATCGATTCAGAATTGGTGAATCGATTTTTTCAACACAGCCCTACACAAAACATAGCCTACTCTCCACCTACTGACTTAATGAGTAAACATTATGGGAAGTGCACTAGCCAGAAGGGATTCAAACTTTGTTGGCTCGAGACCCAGGTTTGGTTTGAAGATGAAAAACATACCAAGCACAATATTCTCTCAATTATTTCTGATTCTAAGTTAAACCACTTTAGGATTTAATAAAGACTCTTCGAAATTATTTAGCAAGCAATGACGGAGGAACAATCACAGCAGTGTGTGTGTCTAATTATTCCCATATTAATAATCCTCATACATTTGCCAATTATACACATTTGTAAATAAACCCCCCATTAGTAACTTTTAGCTTTGTAGTCAATTAATTTAAGAACTTGCAATTTTAACATTATAATTGTTGTGGTAAGCTTAGAATTGAACTAAAAGTTCAATTCCTTGTGAAGGTGAAATTAGCAACCTTAAAAACACTATGTTTCCAATCATTAGGGGCCTGTTTAAATCTGGTCACTTCATGCGTTTTTACTGATCAGATAGCTATCTGATTTATCAAAGTGATTCCATTTACATCTGGTCATATAAATGTGTTTTCGCAAAACTGATATAAATCCGATCTTCAATTCCTGCGCTATATGCAGATTTAATGGAGTTCACGTCACAGAAAGCAAAAGATATGAGCTGGAATTTATTGATCATCAGCTAATTTCAAAATCAAAGACTGCAATAGGAAAACGGCAACAGCACTGGTAAGATCATTTAGTTTCTTTACTTTTAATGAAGATCATTGTGTGTTAAGCGTCTGCGACTGACTTTCACTTTGATTTGCGATAGTTTGCACGTTGGCTTGATGAAAAGAGTAAACAGCCCCATATAGAGCATTATGTGTTTTGCATTTACATGCATTAATTCATGCATGTCTAAAACAAACTCATTGTGTTTGAATACTAATGTCTGGTTGAAGTTATGCAGGCTATCAACTAAGAAAGCAATATGGAATGACAAAATCACAACTGAAACTTTACAATGCCACCACAGATACATTTATACAACTTATCAAACTAAACTATTTTAGAAGATGTATTGAGCATACATAGTTATTTAAAAAGAAGCTTAACTTAATTCAACGCTGAAAAGCAATTACGTTATCGAAAACAGTTTCTGTGATCCGTGGAGGGTGCACTAATATTTTCAGTGGCGCTTTAACACGAAACTTGTGAATATTCATGTAATCTCCGCCCAGTATCACCAAAATGTCAGACACCATATATTTTAAAACACTGGTTCTGAGCAGCGGTTTCTGCGCAAAGAGTTTAACAATGCTCACAATGCGGATCAAAGATAATTTACGGGCTGGAGTAAGCGTGTTTTCAAGTTTTTATGGACATATTTCATATACTCTAGTGCTCTAAACATGAACCAGCACTGTGTATGCGCATATATTTAATCACGTCTTCTTCAAATGAAATATATGTGCAAATAAGGTATTTATTCAATGTTATCCACATTATATTTCATCAGCAATAGCATTTTTAACTTTTGTAATGATACGTTTGGTCATTGACTTTTAAATGCATCATTATGCAAATTACAAAGACACGAGGAGAGTTCTCAGCATGAGAACCCACAAGTTCTCAGCATCAAGACCCATGACTGGCAGACCAACGTACTATTACATTTCTCTGAAATGGTAGGAAATTAAATTAAATTGAATGTGGAGGATTTTAACTGTGACAAGATGACTGACAGGGCAGTTTTAACGGTGACAGGATAACTCCAAAAGACTTGCCTTTTTAAGCTTGCTTTGGTCATCTTTATAGGTAATCATCAGTGCTAGAGCCAAGTCTCCTTTTTCTCTCCGTGTGCCTTCACATAGCAGAGGATGCTCTGCCTCACTGACCGTTGTCTTCATACCTGATAGAAAAAAAAAAGTTAAAGAAAAGGAGAGACAATTGAAACACAGAATGAAAGAATATCTTCGACAAAACTGCTGGTTGGTTTTTTTTTTTTTTTTCACATAAATTGACTCTCACCAAGAGCTGCAACAGCAGCCTCAAATCCCAGCTCCTCATCACCAGGCATTTCATTGTTACGGTTCCGGCTAGGAGGTCGAGAGCCCGTGGGAGAGACCACTGCAAGAGGCAAGTGATAAGAAAAAAAATATGAAAAATGAGCATGGGGATTTGGGGGCTTTTAAAGAGCATTTTTAAAACTGTTGGATAAGGTCGGTGTGACTTACCAGGGGTGCAGAGCACGTCAAATATGAAGCTTGCCAGCATGAGAGGCAGAACCGGACGATAGTCGCAGAAGTTTCCATCACGGAGCTGCTCTGCTCTGTCCCTTATGGAAGTCATTTCTACAAGACCCAGAGGAATCTTCTTCAGGAGAGCCACTACCTCGGACTCCTGATATGCCAGCTTCACCTAACACAAGAGCACAGTAGTTTAGAATTCTGGGACAAAAAAACACTCCACTGCACATCTTTGAAATCAGGCATGTGACGGCCCATGGGTTTCTTGTTTCTGTCAGGATGTTTGGGTGTGTCTTTGTGTTTGCAGGGTGAACTTCCTGGTGGAGTGGAGCTGAGGCCATCACGCAGATCGGAGTCAGCTGGCCACTGTCTCTAGATGGCATAAAACCCGCCCCTTCCTGATTGTCGCGGGCTGGACTGTTTGTTCTGTTGCTTGTCCCCAGCATGGCGTTCCCTTTTGTTTTTGTTGTGTTCCGTTTGTTTGAATAACTGGCATTATTGCCATATATATATACTCTTTTCTAATGATTTATTATTTGTTAAGTTAATCTATACTTTTGTTAATAAATATTCTTTTTTTGGTATTCCCTTGAGTGTGGTTTCCTCTATTTGTTGTGGCTTTTGAGCTGGGCCATAACAAATTGGGGGCTCGTCCAACTTGGAAATTATGCTGTTAACAGGGTGTAATTTATGTACGTTTTTTTCGGGGTTTCTTTGGGCCGTTAAAACGGTGAGTAGGAGCGCGTTTTTGTAAATTAGTGCCTTGACTGGATGTCTAACTGCGGGAAGAGGACGCGCTAAATGTGGGTTTTCCCAGCTGGTGACGTCTAGTCTGGAATTTTTTTGGGGGGAAACCGGCGTAAGGGAATTAACCAGGTGATGGAGTCGTTGGTGCAAGTTTTTTCTGTCTGCAGAATAGTCCCGGGACAAGGAAGGTAAGTGTTGACCTTTTCTTTTGCGCAAATGTGTAAATTGAGCTAGTTCCCCTGTAGGTATAGCGCATGTTCCTCTTTAGGATTCGTGTGCATCTGAATGTAGTCCGGGGTGAAAGTGGTTGGAGCGGTTGTCTCGGGAGCACGTCCGTTGTTGTGGCGAAGTTGCCAGCTTGCTGGTCGCTTAACCAAACTTCTGGGTTTTAGTGCATAAATACCTGCCACAAGGAACCCCTGAAGACTAGGGTTGAGTTATGTAGATTGGGTTAGGTAGTTTAGAGGGGACGCTCAGTTTATGAGGTTACTTTGGTTTGTGTTGCGCATTAGTTAGGTCAATACTATACGTTCTTTTGTTTACCGGGGACTGATTGCTGTATTGTTCAGGTGTTAATCATGGCAGGTATCGATGATTTTATTGCTGTTCCCTCGGATGAATTTTTGGATCAGTGTACTAGGGATCAGTTGTTAAAGATAGCTGATCATTATAAAATCAGTGTGGGCGACAGGAGGTTAAAAGAAAATGTTAGATCTATTATACGGGCACATTTGTATGACATGGATGTTTTAACGCCTGTACGAAAAGCACATAGTCCTAGTGAGTTGGCTTTGGATGAGTTTTCTCAGAATGTATCTCCTGGTGTAGCTTTAAATTTCGAACAGCAAAAAGAAATATTCTCCCTTGAGTGTGGTTTCCTCTATTTGTTGTGGCTTTTGAGCTGGGCCATAACAGGCATCAAAACATTACAATGTATTTTTAGTTTGTGGTTTGTTATATTGTGTGTTAATAGAAGTGCTCAAATCTCTGGATTTTGTGTACACCTCGTTAAATTATATTACTTAGCATTATTTTTTATATTTATGCATGAATACATACATTTTAATATGAGGAGCTCTTTTCCAAAACGCTATAAATCCATTTCAATAGTTTTCAGGAAAATTACATTTTTTACCTAGACCTGCACATTTTGTGAATATTCAATATATCCTGTAAAAATGTTTTTTTTTGCTCAGTTTGAACATGTTGAACAATGATTATTAAATCGATGATAAATTCAAAGTTAAATTTTTTTTTTAAACGCTATAAATCCATCATTTTTTCCCCAAAAATGGATGGTTTGTCTTTTAAAAACAAAACAAAAAAATAACAACAACACGTTCAAGACGTTTGTAAAGTTTTTGTCATTAAAACGCTCTTGTATGTAGGACTAATTTCTTGCGCATCTAATCCCATGCCTCCGTTGCTAATTCCAAAACGTCATTTTAGAGTTAGTAACGGAGGATTGAGCCACTGATAGCAGACTAAATGCTGGACACACTTAACGACTGGCTGAAACACTCTCTGACTGTTTCCATCGGCTGCAGCAGATTTTACACACCGACTGTGAACACAGACTGAACGTGCTGAACACGCGTTTGGGCATGATCAATCATAACAAAGTATCAAATTACATTCATAACCGCCCTTACAATAAGTGTGTCCTCGGCTTTATGCAGTTATTAATGCAGTTATTAGAGAGAGAGAGAGAGAGAGAGAGAGAGAGAGAGAGAGAGAGAGAGAGAGAGAGAGAGAGAGAGAGAGAGAGAGAGAGAGAGAGAGAGAGAGAGAGAGAGAGAGAGAGAGAGGCATGTGCGTCAATATTATTATTTATTAATTAACTCAATTCGTTTTAATTAGTTCGTTCATGTTTTTTTTTTTCTTCTAATATTGACAGTAGACTAGCCTAATAAATGAAACACAAAGTCCTATTAACAAGTATAGGCCTATCAATAATTATTTATTTGTTATAGCCTATTATCTGCATTAATTACGAAAACCCGTGCAGCAGGACTATCAATGTATTTGGCCTATATTCGGTTTAATTTGATTGATTATAGATAGGACTATATACTTTATTTATTAAAATTAAACTGCATGTTTCCATTGATTGTGAAGTTAGACATCGAAAATGGCAGATCAAGCGCATGGGCTACATGTTTTTTCTTGTTATGAATTGTATTATATTTTCCGTTATGACAGTTGACTACGCGAAGTGATAGGGAACGGTAATATCGTCAAGACCTGCCTGGAACTACTTTAGTCGTGCGTTTCCCTGAAAATAATTGCACACCTTAGAACGTTCCTCAACCAATCAGATTCAAGCATTCAACTGCCCTGTAGTATAATATAAATTAAATAAGTGCAAATGCATGAAATAAATAAAAGCCAAACAAAATAAAACTAAATAGTAAAACTAAATAGTAAAAATACAATAAATATTTCCAATGTCATGTTCCAATATTGTCCACCACATAAAACAAATAATTTAAAGATAACACGCATACAAATACCAGTCCTTAAAGGAGAACTCCGGCGCAAAATGAACCTTTGGTCTAATTACACATTGTTACCTAGTCAACCGTTATCTGAGATTTGTTTTCATGATTATCGAATGTAAATAGTTTTATCTCTACAAACAGTTTAGCCTATAAAGCTAGTATAACGCTAGTATATTGGGCATAGTGTAATGACAAATAAAAATCGCTTGTTAATACCACTAACAAGGCTCAAAATAGCCCCACACTAACACGGTAGCATAATGAGGGTCCCTACCTTCAAACCGAAGCATTGAGAACTTTGTCAGTGTCCAGACAGTTTAATAAGAAGATATTTTAAACATACAGTCAACTTCGCGTATACAGGCAGGAGCCATCTTTGAAATACAGCCCTTACCAGTCGATCTACGAACGCCGATCCAAGCCTGCTGTTCGAGCTCACCTTATCACAACTTATAGCTCGTTCACATTCTCACCAGCGCACTTGGATCGGCGTTCGTAGATCGACTGGTAAAGGCTGTATTTCAAAGATGGCTTCTGCCTGTATACACGAAGTTGACTGTATGTTTAAAATATCTTCTTATTAAACTGTCTGTACACTTACAAAGTTCTCAATGCTTCGGTTTGAAGGTAGGGACCCTCATTATGCTACCGTGTTAGTGTGGGTCTATTTTCAGCCTTGTTAGTGGTATTAACAAGCGATTTTTATTTGTCATTACACTATGCCCAATATACTAGCGTTATACTAGCTTTATAGGCTAAACTGTTTTTAGAGATAAAACTATTTACATTCGATAATCATGAAAACAAATCTCAGATAACGGTTGACTAGGTAACAATGTGTAATTAGACCAAAGGTTCATTTTGCGCCGGAGTTCTCCTTTAAATACAACGTTAAAAATGCATTCAAATCATTTAGTAACACATTTAGGCTAATAGTCATTCAGTGCCGAACCTGAAAAAAGCAATGATAGTAATAACAATATTCAGGTGTTGTAGACATTAAATAAGTGCATTTAGTTTCATATTTGTTAAAATATTATGATGTTATTTTTTTCCCCATCTATGTTGATTATGAAAAGTGAACAGCATGAGTAAGATAGGATGCGCAATATATCGATAGACATGGTCAGACATGATTTTGGTCACTTAATTAAGTTTTGTTTTGTAGAAAGCTTTTCTTTAAAGTGAATTTGTATAAATTGTATCTTAATTTTAATAAAAAAAATGTCATCAACCAATTGCCTGGATTTAATAAATAAGAAGCAAATATACTATATAATCATGACATGGAGGCTCGGGCGCGGTCACTTGCATTGCACGTGAACTGGAGCGCATCTCATCATAAATTAAACGAAACTCAGGGTATGCCTCACAGACATGAGAAATATATCTATATAGAAAGCTTGTAATGTCTTTAAACAAAACAATTAAAAATGAAAATAAATAGGATACTCTCTGATTATGTAATCCATTACATGCATTTCTCCCTATAGGCGTGTTCACACAGAGACATGTTGGATTGCGTAGAACGCTCACCGAATTCTGATTTGTCGAGAGGATGTATCGCGTTTAGGCTAAAAATAGGTTATCTCGGTTTGGAAAGGAACTGCATCTTGCAGTACATTTTAAACAAGGAAATATAGTGATTTGGCATGAAACGTTGATGGAACAGTGAATTGGTTCAGTACACAGCAAAATGACATGACAAACTTTTTTTTTTTAAATGGCGTTTATCGCGTTTTGGAAAAGAGCTCTTCATATAATATAAAACATGTAAATAATTTTATACCACTAAAATACAATAAAGTTAGAATAAAATAAAAACTGATATTACACTTCAAAACCAGACACATCCCTAACCACAAACTATACTGTCTACTAGCAGATCATCAGATTTATGAGATTGACATCTGCTTTACCTCCAGAGCTTTAGTAGAAGCAGGAGGTCTCTGCAGCTCCAGGGAAAACATGCCAGTGTTGAAGGCCAGGTTATGGAGCTCCAGCCTCTCACTCAACACAGTCAGCAGAAAGGCTACTTTAGACAGGGTGTTAGTGGCCACCTGCGTCTGTTTACTGGTCGACACCTTGCTCTTTTTACCCTAAACAAGACAAGGAGATAACCATTTTCAAAGGTGAGCACCGGTATGATTGTATGTCACAGCTGAAACCTCTGGGAAATGAAAAAGACTATTTCGGTACCTTTGTCTGTGGCTGCTCCACCTTCAGGTCAGGCGGATTAGACAGAAGATCTCGAGCAAGTTCAACAGCCAGTCGGCAAGCATCATTACTGTAGCCGTGAGCATAGAGAGCCTCAGCACAGGCAAACAGTACCTGCAACACACCATTATACATTTGAAAACCGTTTAAAGTTCTGTGCAATTCAATTGAAAATTTTTAATTGTGGTCAAGCCATGAAACTATTTTGCAACATTTTCATCATATAATTATAAAGCAGACAGTTCCAGTACTTGATTATGATTGGCTGTGCTGCCTTTAGAGCCATTGTGAAATACTCTATAAACATACACGTGTGACCTCATTAAATCAGTATTACTGCAGCATTGCATCTGTGTGTTCCATGGCAACCATTCTACTAAACACTGCTGAAGAACTACATTGCTTGATGGAAGGATTATTATTTGTTCATAAATTATTCATTGTTTTTCTTGCCGTTTAAAAAAAAAATTTATTAAACCATGCCATTTGTGTGCATGTGTGTATATATACACACAACCCGGCCCAAAAAAAAAGTCACTGTTTGGGTTTAAAAAGGCAAATGCTTAAGAGTCTATGTTTGGATTATTATTGCAGTGATTATTGAGTTTCTAGCATGTTATATGTGTGGCAACAGTTCTTCTAACCCTAATTGATGGAGTGTGTAGCTTTTAATTTCTGTAGGCCATATTCCAGGATTAATACACAAGGAGTCTGACAACAGCCGGTATGATCTGATCTCACCACCATCAAGTCTGTCTGTGATTACATGAATAAACAGAAAAAACTGAGGCAGACTAAATCCAGAAGAACGGCGGCAACATCTGCAAGATGCATGAAGAAACCTACCTACAAAGCTACAGTACTGTGAAAAGTTTTAGACACGTGTAAAAATACTGTAAAGTCAGGATGCTTTCTAAAATAATGGCATAAACCGATTTTATTTATCAATTAACTTCTAACTAAGTTAATCAAATCAATATTTGGTGTGACCACCCTTTGCGTTTAAAACAGCTTTTGTCTTAGCTACACTTTATTGTAGTTTTTAAGGTAGCTTTGTAGGTAGGTTACTTCAACCATCTTGGAGATGTTGCCACAGTTCTTCTGGATTTCTTCATGTAATCACAGAGAGACTCGATGGTGGTGAGATCAGATCATACCGGCTGTTGTCAGACTCCTTGTGCATGCAAAAAACTCACTGGATTATTACAATAATGGCAAAACAAAATTTTGAACGGAAGCTTTTCTAACAGAAGCTATTAGAAGATGCACGGTCACATTTAGCTCTTGTTCAGTGTTAATTTGGAACGCTACTTTTAGGCAGTGCTCCAGTACTTTACAAGGGGGGGGAAATTCACCTCCATCCTGCCCTCCTGTTCCAGAGGTTTAATCCCAGCAAAGATGTCTGGCTCTTCCTCATGGTTGCCGTCTGCAACCCCTCTATCCGCTCCCTCTTCTGAGGCAGCGCTAAGATAGTAGGCTTGATAGTCATCTTCACCCACAGCATCTGCCCCTGCTGCTGCCTCAGCCGCCTGAGGTCCTGGGGCCCCTGAAGCTCCACTTCCATCTCCCTCTCTGCGGCCCCGCTGAGCCTGGCTGGGGAGCGCCGCACAGGGCAGAGCATCGTCTACAGGGTCCTCATCTCCTCCGGTTTCATCCAGGTCTGCCTCCACCTCCACCTCCACCTCTTTCTCCATAGCTACCACTACTGGGGTTGCAATGGAGCTCTCCTTTGAAAAGCAGGCATGGGCATCAGCAGCAGAGGGCATGGCAGCATGTGCCACATGTTTCGTCTCAAAAGCACGCTCTTTTGAAACGTTACCGCTGGTGTATTTGAGTGGCTCACGGAGCAACGGGCTGGGTGAAGGCAGCATCTCGGGAGGAGGAGGAAGGAAATCGAAGGTGTTGCAGGCCTCTGCCCCGAGCGCCAGGCTGGAGCCATCATCCAGACTCAGCTCTGCCATGTCAGGCTCTAGAGAGCTGTCCTCACTGCTGGTTCGCCGCTTTGCGCCAGGGTGTTTCCCACTGACACCACTCGAACTTCCACACGAGCCCTTGTTGCTCTGCGTTAGCTTGGCCTTACTACCAGCTGATGGAGAGGAGCTGTTGGCTTTATACATGCCTTTACCTCCCTCCTGAAGTGAGAGAGAGACCCTGCCACCCAGACAAACCAGAACGCCTCCGCTGTTCACGCCAGACACTCCTTTCCTCTTGCTCACAATGGTCTCCTTAGGGCGGACAGCCACCTCCTGCTGGGGAAGATGTGAGTTACTCCTTGACTTGTGTTCAGAGGAAGAACCTTCTGAGGAGCCACCACGAGTGCCATCTCCTGATTCCCCACCAGTCCCAGCTTTAATGCCCCGCTGCTGCTGCATTGCCCTGGCCCAACAAAAGGAAGCGTTTTTCTTATCTGCGCTGCAATAGGTGATGCCAGGTAAAGGGTAGGCCACTTCCCAGTTGAAGTAGCAGCATTCAACAGCTGGTTTGAAGCCCTGGAAGAGTTTGTCCAGAGACTTGCGGTGCTGCCCTCGTTTCACGATCTCTATTACCTTCAGGTGCCACTGCTTCAGCTGGGCGGCAAGCTCCAAGCGCCTGAGGAGTCGCAAAAGGTGAAAAACATTACCTTACCTAATTTATGAAAAATACAGCCACAAATCTTTGAGCAATTCTAGATCAACATCACAACAAATGAGAATCACTAGTACTTTAGAGCTTAACCAGCTATACAAAATTGCTCACCTCTGGGGACTCATGGTAGGGTCTAACACTGCCAGTCTCCATAAGACAACCATCTCATCACACATACTGGCACATGCATGTGCAGCGACCTCTGTCTGCCCATTACTTCGACCTGTGTGCCCGCTGGCACTGCTGTGAGAGGCGGATGTCCTCACACTGTACCACCAACCAATGATCTTGAAGAACAAAAAGAGCAATAGAGTATCATTAGAATAAAAAAAATATTATTTAAGTGTTGAGTTTAAAATGCACCTCCAATCCAATATTAATACAGTCAACAACTACATATTTAATTTCCTTCTGAAATAAAATAAAATGGTTTGAATGCAGGCACAAATGTGACAAGTGTTTTCAACAGGATGATGCAATTTTTTACACTTGAAACAGTCACCCTGAGGTGTGAAGTGTGGCCGAGTCAGGTTTGGTACCTGTTCATGGGTGAGACACTGTTCGGTGAGTATCTCTAACAGAGGTGCAGCGTTGCTGTCTCTCCTCTTAAACATCTCTCTGACAATGGACAGAAGGTTCCAGATGCCCTCTGGCTCTCTACCTCGCAGGGGCCTCAGCAGACAAGCCCATTCAGCAGCTGCCGGAGGCTCGGTGGACGACAGGTACATGGAGTTCACATCACTAAGAACAACAAGGGACAAAATAGAACAGTTATGTTTGTGGCCCTTGTAATATACTAAGACGGTCTATATAAAAATATGTTTTGATCATTATTAAAATACAAATCAATATTGGATCAAACAAGTCTCACAAAGTAGGCTAGTTTTAAATACATAAATATAGTCTTGAGATAAGGGACAAAACATGTCATACACACAAAAGCCCTATTTATGCTATTATGGAGCGACGATAGTGGAGATCGAGAGAGGACAGGCCTGGACTTTTGTGTTGAGGTTTTTATGTTTTATTATGTGAGAGCAGTCGTCCGTGAGGGGCTGCTGTCTTTTACTTTCGTTTTGTTGTTGATTTATTTTATGTCATTAAAGTCTTTAAATGTTCTCAAATTCAACTGAAAATGCAACTTTTAATGACTTCTGCAGTCTCAAAATGATTCAACTCCCTGAATAGAATCCCTCACAATAGCACAAATCTGCAAAACAGGTGTCGTCTCATGCAAACCTGATGCAACTAATCAAGGGCTTCATTAGTTGCCCCAGGTGTGCTTGAGCCAAAACACATGAAATGCCTGAACTGACTAGGTTAAGTGTCACGTTTGACTGCATGTTAGAAATATGGCTGGTCAACATGCATAAGAATGGTCCAAAATGTTAAGAGAAGATATCATCGCCCTTCACAAACAAGAAACAGGATAAAAAAAGATAGCGAAGGCACTAAATGTTCCTAGAGACACCATTGGAAGCATAGCTTGCAAGTCCAAAATGAAAGGAACAGTGGTTACACTACCTGGACGGGGTATCAAGCTATCAACGGCTGCAACCATGCCGATCTAAGGCGGCATGTTCAGAAAAACCCTAGAGTGATTGCAAAAGACCAGCAGCAAGACTTGGTGGTAACAGGCATAAATCTTGGCATTTTTTATGTATTTATTAAGGCAGCTACAACTAAGGGGAAAAAAACTAAATTGCTCCACTGTACAACGTGGTTAAGGCAGAAAAATATTCAGTTTTGTCAATTCCGTCAGATGTCAACTCCACCAGGTTTTATGGAGTTGACAAGTGCTCACAAAACTTTTTTCTTTTTTTTCATATGGGGATTTATTCTAATATTGTTTCATGATTTTATTTACATATATATTTGGCCTGATATACATGCCTTATATAAACAGCATCTTTACATCTACTGTCACCATGAAATCAAAATTGATGATACTTATTTTTTTATGGAATATTGCCGTTCTTATAAATAATTCTGTACACATCTTTTTTTTTTACTTTCTTTTTTTACAACCTGTCACTCACATGAGATCACAGCAATAGCAAATGGACTGACGTAATGGACTTCATAGAGATTGAACTTGTCCAATGGCATTTCTCACTGTTTAAGCCATGCAAGTCAGGCACAAATAAAATGTACGTAATCGATGCGTTTTAAAGACAGGCTACAGATTCTTTGGATCCACAATGGGAACATTTCTGTTGCTGGAACCTAAAATAAGCTTCTTGTATTCTGTGAGCTACTGAAGACCCATAATGAGACATACTGCACTGCTAAAAAAAAGAAAAACAAACCACTGGAAGGATTGTTTTATTAATTTAAATATTAGTGTAAAAATTAGTTAGTTGTCTTAATTTGTTGTCTTGTCAATCAGTTGTTGTAAACTTCAGTTGAACCTTTGTCAACTCCCTCAGTATTTAACACTGTCAGATGAAGGTTTCTGATCATTTTTAAGAAATATTTTATTCTTTTTCCATTTATTGTGTTAAAATATTAAAACATCAACTGAACTACATGATATAATGTCTGATTTACTTAAGAAAATTGGTTATATACGTTTAAAATTTAAAAGGAGGGTAGAGAATTAAGGAATTTAACCCATTAATTTTTTTTAGAAAATGTATTTTTTCCACTTAGCTCCTTTACTGAACACCATTATTACATAATTGATGACTTTACATCTTTTTGGATGGATCAAATTAAAATAGCATGATTTTTAATGCGTCTGACGGAGTTGACAAATTAAGTTATAAAGTGAATAAATGTACATTTTTAGAAAAGGAACATTTTCAGTTCATTAGCTGAGACCTTAGTCTACAAATAAATAATTGTATAATTAATGTATTAATAAATAATAAAAACTAACTTCTAAAACATGTTTTGTCCCTTATCTCAAGAATCAGTGATATATGTACACACTCTAGCTTGTGAGGTATATTCTTTATTCACACAAATAAAATAAAAAATGTCTGAAAAAGTACCCCCAAAACCCATGTATGCCTGTTTGGGAAACACTGGTTTAGAACACAGATGACAACAGTAAACTGTGCAACACTGTAGATAGTACCAGGCTGGTTGCCTTTACCTAAACACAACCGGTGAGGGGCCACAGAACTTGTGCAAGGTCTTCTTTATGTTGTCACTTAGGGTGGACTCATCTAGATACCAGGTGCTCTGGTCAGACGCTGAAGGGCCAGCAGTAGGATCTGTTGAACCAATCGTTAGAAAAGAAAAATGAGGATTTACAAGGTCTGCATATCTTCAGAGAAAATTAGACATTTAGAAATTCATGAATTGTGGTTTGTAGGTCAATGCATACCCGGGGCTCCACACACGGTGTTAATAGCGGTAGACTGGGAGGAAAGAAGCTCATCCAAAAGACGCTGAGCTGTCGGCAAGATCTGCAGATACAAAAGAGCGAATCACAATAAAGCCAGAAATTAATTTAAACATCAGATGAGAAATTATCTGATAAAAGTTTTTTTATTAATATTTAAGCAATAAAAAAATGTGTTTAATATAATGTTATATACAAGTAACAATATTAGATTATGATGGCATAATACATAGTATAAAACAATAAAACATTAGCATTTACCACATAAATATTATTGGTAATAAATGTTTTCTGCCTCATACTGTACCAAGTATTTACAGAACCACACCGTAGTCATGAACACAGAACAATGATACAAACCGAACTGTGATAAATCTGAGCAGTCACAGCCCAATATGGACAATGAGGCCACTGTGTGCACTTCATCACAGTTATTTAGAGCTGTGCAAAGACACTTTAAAGCTCAGAGAAACCACGGGCAACCAGACCATGTCAATTTATAAGAACAAATAAAAAACCGCATGCCTCACCTGCTGTGGGAGTTCACTGATGAGGTATTGTGCAAACTTCTGGAGTTGATCCCGTTGTAACCTGGACAGGGACTCTGACACAGGTGCTCGAAGACACACAGCAGAAGCCTATAGCCAAACACAAATTACTGATATTTGAAGCTGGCAGACATAACTGAAATTAAGCTCCAGTGCTTTAACCTACTCACTAGTGCAAACTAAACCGGGAGCAGGCTGCTCATTAGCAAACACTCTGTGCATTTCTAATGTATCTGGAGGCTTTGATGCCTTCAGGTGGATGTCCCAGTGTGCCGTCACCTGGTACTCCCTTCTGCTCGTGGTGGACACACATGCTGGAGAACCCCTCATTTGCAATTGGCCCATACATAATATATGAGCTCCAGATAGACATGCTTTGAGCCGATCAGATCTAATTCTCTCTTTAGCTCATAGTGAGATTATTAAAGAGAATGCAGAATGTCCCGTGGGGGAAGCATTGTGAACTACTGCAGTGAAATGTGTTGGCTGTGTCTGGGAGTTAGAAGATGGGGAGAGAGGAGGATGGATGAAGGACAGACTTGGAGAACTAAACTGAGGAGGATAGGGAGGACGGAAACGTTTAGGATTCCTGGACAACACGCGCCAGTATGACTGAGTGCCGAATAAGCCATGTGGCTGAGAGTCTAACTATGGGAGACCACATTCTTCCATACACAATATCAGACTGACCCTTCCGCAGACATTTCACACAAAATGTATTCTAACTTAGGGGGTTTTCAATCGTCTTGATTCCAAAGATCCTCATTATGATGATCTTTTTATGAGGGAGCCCCATCCCTCCTAAAATATAAAATGGATATATATATTTTATTCATTAAAACCTATTTATTAAGTGTGAGAAAGATGCTTAAGTTATAATAGTTAAAATTAACCTAAACATAAGGCCTTTTTAACGCCTTCCTGTAGCTCAAAGAGTAGATCATGGCACTAGTAACTCTAGCACTATGGGTTTAAATCCCAGGGAATGCATGAATTTTAAAATAAATAATGTATAGCTTAAATGTAATAAGTTACTGTGGATAAATGCACCTGCAAAAATGGATAAATATAAATAAAAGGCAGCTTTATGTTTTTTATTGTTATTAAAGGGATAGTTTACCCAAAAAAAAAAATTCTATAATTTACTCACTCTTATGTTGTTCCAAACCTGTATGAATTTCATGCTTCAGTTGAACTATAAAAGAAGATATTTTGAAGAATGTGGGTAACCAAAATTGACAGTAGCCATTGACTTCCATAGCATTTTTGGCTACCGTCAACTGTCTTGTTAGCAACATTCTTAAAAATATATTATTTTGTCTTCAGCAGAAGAAAGATACTCAAACAGGCGTGTAACAATATAAGGTGAGTAAATGACAGAATTTTCACTTTTGGATGAACTATCCCTTTTTTTTTTAAGAAAAAAAGAATTTATATTTATATATATATATATATATATATATATATATATATATATATATATATATATATATATATATATATATATATATATATATATATATATGTATATATATATAAATTAGGGGTGGAACGGTACACAGAAGTCACGGTTCGGTTCATACATCACGGTTCGGTACGATTTCGGTACAATGGAGGGAAAAGCAAAACAAAAATGCAGAACGCATTGTATTTTTTAAATAAGTTTTATTAATAAAGGCATAGAACCAGTTTATTTGTAGTGCACTGGCAATAGTTTAATATAATTAGTTTATTAATTAAATTAATAAAAAGACAAAAAGACCTTGCGATATGTTTGGTAATTGTACCTGAATTAATGTAAAATTATTTTGCTATATTTCAGATCAATATATTTGTTTTCCTTAATTTTAATTAACATTATTAATTAACAATGTAACATTATTCTCATCTGAATTATAAATAATTGATTTCTGTATAAAATAATACTACCATTAAAAACACATTCGATTTTCTTTTTTAATCAATGTAGAATGTGCAAGATTAGTGCTCCGAGGACAAGAAATGAAAACCAATGCAATATGATGAATGTCCAAAAGATGGGACTCACAGACTGTTTTGAAATAGAGTTGGATAAATATGTTTTGCTTTTAAAACAGTGTGTGTGTGTGTGTGTGTGTGTGTGTGTGTGTGTGTGTGTGTGTGTGTGTGTGTGTGTGTGTGTGTGTGTGTGTGTGTGATTTTGGTTGGGTGACAGTTGTAGGTTACAGTTTGGCAAGAGATTACAGTGTGACAAAAGCACAATGTTGTGTTTTATTGCTAGTGTACACAAATATAAGTAAACACTTTGCAGGTTTAATGATCTGTATGAACAAAATGACGGAATATGTTTTTTATGTTTCCACTGTTCGATCGCGCCCGCGCCTCTCTCTCTCTCGCGCGCGCGCGCGCGCGCACACACACACACACACACACACACACACACACACGCATTGCAATCTTGACATCGCAGCCTGTTCATTATGCGGTCACACCAAACGCGAATAGAGCGTCAAATTCGCGTCTATCGCGTCTAGTTCGACGCTAGTCCAAAGCGAATAGGACGCGAGTATAAAGCCAACGTTTGAAGTGAACGCGCGTTCAGAGCTAAGCCGATGGTACAGATTATGTGTCCCTAAAGAACCCGCGTATCTAACAGTAGTTCCGCATTACAATAATTAATTTGCACGTGCGTTTTATTTATTTTTATACCGTGTATTCTCCGTGTAAATTCGTGCACCGAACCGTGACGCCCGTACCGTTTCGGTTCAATACGAATACATGTACCGTTCCACCCCTAATATATATATATATATATATATATATATACACACACACTCACCTAAAGGATTATTAGGACCACCATACTAATACTGTGTTTGACCCCCTTTCGCCTTCAGAACTGCCTTAATTCTACGTGGCATTGATTCAACAAGGTGGTGAAAGCATTCTTTAGAAATGTTGGCCCATATTGATAGGACAGCATCTTGCAGTTGATGGACATTTGTGGGATGAACATCCAGGGCACGAAGCTCCCGTTCCACCACATCCCAAAGATGCTCTATTGGGTTGAGATCTGTGTCTGTGTCTCTGTGTGTGTGTCTCTGTGTGTGTGTGTGTGTGTGTGTGTGTGTGTGTGTGTGTGTGTGTGTGTGTGTGTGTGTGTGTGTGTGTGTGTGTGTGTGTGTGTGTGTGCGCGTGTATGTATATATAGTTAATTATTAGTTCATGCTAACTAATGTAGTTAACAAATGTTAACTAATGAACCTTATTGTAAAGTGTTACCCATTGAATAAATATAAATATTAAAATATAAAGCATTTTTTTCAATTTATTGTATTTGTGCGGCAATAAATATTGACTTTAAACAGTTGTACAGAAAGACTAAGGAAACTAAAACAATTTCAAATTTGGTAAATGTATTCTGTAAACTTTTTTTCAGGGACCTCCTCTGCAGATCTCAAACCCCCCATTCAATCTGACTATTATGGCAGTTTACTTCCTTTTCAAATTCAGGTACTGCAAATTTGTAAATGGCTTTGGGTGCTTGCAATATTCAACTTTAAGTAAATCGCAAATGTGAAAGTCACGAAAACTGGCTAAAAGACAGCATTCCAGCAAAAGGTTACCACATAATTACCCTGGTGGTTACTATTCCAAAGCAGTTTAGGGAAAATTGTGTTCATTTTGGTCAAGATAAGGACCCTTTGTAATGTTTTCAAATCAGGTCAGTTGAAATGTTTTTTAATCCTAGTTGAAACCAGCATAATTAGTATGGTGAGGAGATGTATTCATGCAATTTGAGCTGTGAGGACAGTCTGACAGCTAACTACATGGGGAAAAAACACATAAGCCCACTCAAATAGTTAAAGGGCATAGCGATGATGCAGAATGAGAGGTCTAATGACTGACACACAAAGTTTATCACTGGTGCATGCCTGTCTAGCTTCTCTATGTACAATATCATAAGTAATAAGTAATAATATTATAATATCCAGTAATATCAATAACTGTTTGAGTCTGTATCTTTCTTAATGTCATGTTCTGTTTAGGATTTAGAAATTTCTGCAGGAATGCATTATACTTTGTTATACTTTGTGACAATCTTTGAGATACTGTCGAGTAGGTGGGCTAAATGTCAAGCCTGAAGCATTTGAACTTCAGGCTGCAGGCTGTGATGTGAGAAAGTGATAGGTAACCTCATCAGACACCGGGCTCAACACGCAAAGAGGCAAATGAAGGGATTCTGCAGCAAGATATCAAGTCTTAAGTGTCAATGATTTACTGAAATTCCTGTGTGGCTGATAAATGGTCTCATATCATAGCAGAACTAAGAATATACTGTTTATTCAACTCACAATAGCATAATAGACTCTTAAAGCTGTTTGAAACGCACAGGAATGCACAATGATGGTAAATGCATTCAAATGAAACATTCTCAAAGCTTTTTGCCAATAAACGGTTTAAGATAAGAGACACCTACCCTACAAACATGGGCAAGCGTCATGTTGCAAACACTACCTAAAGAGTTTAATTCCTCCATTTTCCTTCACTTTTCCAAAATTACAATATTAAATTCAAATAAACACAATGGATATCTAGCGACAGCTATAAGAAACTAAACAGGGGAATTGTGTATTTGATATGAACAACAAAACCAAACCATGTGAGAAAAGCTTATGCAAAATAAGTTTGTTATAATTTCCCCCAACGGCAGCAAACAGAAGACAAAGCCCACATGCAAATGCTAAACGCCACCCACGGCCCGGGCCGCCAGGTCTATCTGACTGTGGCAGGCCCTGCTAAGGGGGGTGGGATATCACAGCAGTGCAGATCCTTCCCTCCACCCTCCTGACTCCACAGGGAGGCATCAAACCTAATCAAAAGCTTCTCAGTCCTCTCACGCCCACGGTCACTCCGCACAGATAGAAACCAAGAGAAAGTTCGTACATGTGCTGTACGTGAAATCTTCCCCACAGATACGTCCATCTGAAGCAGGCCATTGTGCGTATTAAAATTCCTGTGTATATGTCATTTTGAGAAACAATGAGAACTGTTGCCTTAAGTAGCTTGTTTTCTTTTAATGCATTCATTTCTTCGAACCTTAAGGGACAATCTTAACTATGCTACAAGCTCTGTATTTCACCCTAGATCAAATTCCAGCCTATACAAGGGTAATCTCTGTCATTGCACTTTACTTAAAAAGAAAAAAAAGAAAGAAATATGGAAAACTACGGAGCCCCCCTAGTCCCACTTTGTCAAAAAAAATTATTATAACTATCTCGTGGCCTCAAGATAAGTATCTCGGTTGAGGTATTGAGGTCACGAGATACTATCTTGAGGCCACGAGATACTATCTTGAGGCCACGAGAAAGTTATCTTGAGGCCACGAGATAGTTATCTTGAGGCCACGAGATAGTTATCTTGAGGCCACGAGATAGTTATAATTTTTTTGGACAAAGTGGGACTAGGGGGGCTCCGTAGTTTTCCGTATTTCTTTCTTTTTTTTCTTTTTTTTTTAAGTCTCGTACTATCTCGTAAGAAACTATCTCGAGGCCACGAGATACTATCTCGAGGCCACGAGATACTATCTCGAGGCCACGAGATACTATCTCGAGGCCACGAGATACTATCTCGAGGCCACGAGATACTATCTTGAGGCCACGAGATACTATCTTGAGGCCACGAGATACTATCTTGAGGCCACGAGATACTATCTTGAGGCCACGAGATACTATCTTGAGGCCACGAGATACTATCTTGAGGCCACGAGATACTTATCTTGAGGCCACGAGATACTTATCTTGAGGCCACGAGATACTATCTTGAGGCCACGAGATACTATCTTGAGGCCACGAGATACTATCTTGAGGCCACGAGATACTATCTTGAGGCCACGAGATACTATCTTGAGGCCACGAGTTACTTATCTTGAGGCCACGAGATAGTTATAATACAATTTTTTGACAAAGTGGGACTAGGGGGGCTCCGTAGAAAACAAATATCGGTGTTGGGGCAGAAACCTTGTATATCAATTTCTTGTCTTTTTTTTTTTTTTTTTTTTACAAATCGTTACTTTGGTCACCCTTTCTGTGGGTTTTGCAAATATTTAACCAATGAAAAGTTAAAAAAAAAAGAGCTTGAGACTAAACCTCATAACTCTATTGGATCCTCAAACTGTTGGTCAAACCTCAAAACTCCACCCGCCTCTATCGTGAATAAAGTGCCGTATGACGTTTTCTCTGCTTGTTTGCAATGCAAAGGGAAATAAAGAACTGGTTCTTTTGAATAAGTACAGCATTTTCTTTACTCAAGAAATTATACATATGGATGGACAGACAGACAGATGCTAATGTTTTATGTATTTGAGGAGCAGAGAAGAGTGTCTTAGGCTAGCATTTGTTGTCAAATTATAGTACTGTGCATAGCACTTTGTCTTTGTAACACACAATTTAAGCTTTATTTTGGTAAAATGTTAATATTACAATGACACATGCAAGTGTCTGACCATATTTAAAGCCACAATATCAACTCTGACAACGCAGTGCTTATTTAAAAAAAAAACAAAAAAAAACGTTTTTTCCATTTCCTGAAAAGTAGCGTTTTTGGAGAAACAAAGTTTCCGCCCAACAGCGACGATATACAATGTATTACGTTTCAGATTTGCTGAAAATTACATTTAACATTGATATTAAATAACTGCTTTTAAAAATTAACTTTGAGTGAGCATTAGCATTATCGATGTGTAAAAATAAAGCATGCACAATTAAATATCCTATTAAAAAAAACTCTAATATCATACAATAAATGATACAGATATACTATGTATCCCAAGCGAGAGGACAATGTGTGCATCTACAAACTCTTACATTGTGAATTCTGAAGAGGCAGAGGGCCACAACGTGGGCACACCATTTGGCTCCTGCTCCACAGGTGCAGCTGCAGGAAGTGATGCGGCAGCGGTCAAACATTACAGCCACATTGTAGGCTCCTTTTGATTGGCCAGCCTGGGGCGACACTACTGTGGCACTGAGGTGGAAACCTGTTTAAGGGAACAAAAGCATGTCAGTCTTTGGTAACGCATTTCAACACAAAACTAGTTCACATTCTCCTCACACTCTGGACAAAAATGCCCTTATTATTGGGGAGTTATTTGTTGTAAAATACTGTTTAATATGAAAACTTGTGCTTTGTTTTTAGAAGGATTATTCTGAAAACATCATATTTGCACCTGGTGCAAGGAAGTATTAAAAAAAATTGGGAAACATTAATGTTTAAAAGGCTGAGGGAGTTTGGTGACTGTAAGACTGAATGATAAAACAGCAATTGAACTGTACACAGACCATACAGGAAATGAAAGACATCTGAGATGGAAAGAGAGAAAGATAGAGTCCAAATGTGTGCGTGGAGTGTGTGTGGAGAGTCGAGTGCAGGGGGTTGGTTGAAAGCTTTTACCACTGGACAGCGGCCAGCGCTCCTCTGGCCAGTAAGAGCAGAGGTGGGGGTAGTGGGTGGTTTCAGCTTATAGCTTCGGTTCCAAATTCAACGGGCCTCCTCAAGCCAACTCTACTACACTGCCTCTTTTTTTCTTTCAGTCTACCTGTCGGTGCCAAAAGTACCCCTCTATTCCTTTATTCCTGACCCACATTCTCCTGTCAGCTGTCCCTGATAAAAAACAAAAGCCCCAAAGGTTTCATAATCTGCATTAAAAACTTTGTATAAAACAGGGTCTTTCTTTAATTAAGAGAACAACTGGCTGGACCAATAAGCACATCATAATTGCAAATGTCACAAGGTGGTGTGACGGCCTGCATACTTGTTTGTGTTATGTCTGTGTTTCAGTGGGGCGGGGCTTCAATCCTGAGCGCGGATGGAGGACACCTGCGGTGGGAGTTTCTCTTCCTGATAAAAGCTTCCGGCTCCCTGCCTTCAGGAGGAACGAGCGAGGGGTTCTCCCTCCTGCGTGCTTTTCCCTTTACATGTTTTGTGTTGTTGCCGGCATTTTGTGTTTATTGTGCTTTTTGTTTGGTAAATAAATTGGTCATCTCTTGATTGAGGTTTTGCGTCCCGCTTCTTTGTCACAACCTCGGAGCCGGGCTGTGACAAATGGGGGCTCGTCCGTTTGTTTATTTTCGCTACGTATTAAGTCGTGCAGTGGCGGGACGGTAGGCCTATTTGTGAATGAAGTGTCGCTGGTGTGATGTCATGATTTTGACCGGTGTGCGGGAAATCAAGGTAAGTAGGTTATTTTAAATTGTCATTGTTATCAAAGGGGTGTGTCTCTGGGAGGCTTAGTGGCGTTACCCTTTTGGGTTTCGTCTGGTTGGGTTGTGTAGTGTTGCGGTGAAAGTGGACAGAGCAGTTGTCTCGGGGGCACTACCGTGGATTTAGGAGAGTCGCCAGTTTCTGTTTGCTTTTCCTTGCCATCGGGCTCTGTGCATAATGGAACCACCATAAGTAGCCGCATGAAGACTAGGGTTGAGTGTATGTAGTAAGTTTGGGGTTGAGTTAGTTAGAGGGACACACCTTTTTTTTATGTTGATAGCCTAGTAATGTGGTAATTTGATTTCCATTAGGCTTACGGAGATTTCACGCACGCGGTTAAAATGTCGGCTGTAGAGGAATTTATTGCATCTCCGTCGGAAGAATTATTAGATCTTTGCACAAAAGAGCAGCTGCTTGGAATAGCTGAACATTATGAGATTGATATCAGTAATAATATGCTTAAAGAGCGGCAGAAAGCTATTGTAAGAAGTAGCTTAATAGAAAAGAGAATTCTGGCAGAAAACCCGTCTGTATCGTTACCTTCACTTTCTATGTCGACTTCAAATTTAACATTTGAACAGCAAAAAGAGTTGCTTAGCATGCAAATTGAGCATGAAAGGTTCAAAGTGAAGGTCGAAATAGATAGGGATTTGGCAGTGGAAAAAATGCGACAGGAAACAATGCAGGCAAAGCTTGATTTGGAATTTAGACTTGAAACGGACAGGGAAGGTGCTGCAGCCGGTACAGATGTGTATGCACGGTCAACTTCTTTTTCAAATAGGGGTGTTTCTGGTTTTGATGTCGTAGGACATTTGCGGCTTGTACCGAAATTTTGCGAAAGAGATCCTGATTCTTTTTTTGTACTTTTTGAACGAATTGCCGATGCGTGTAAATGGCCAGATGCGGCCAGAGCGTTAATGCTTCAGACTGTATTGACAGGTAAAGCACAAGAGGCGTATTCGTCGTTAACTGTGGAGGATAGTCAGGATTATGTGGAAGTCAAGGCAGCAGTATTGAAAGCCTATGAACGTGTTCCAGAATTTTACAGGCAGCAATTTAGAACTTGGAAGAAAAGTGAGAAACAGAGTTATCTGGAGTTTGCTCGTGATTTACAAATGCATTTTTCCCGTTGGTGTTCTGCTGCCGAAGTCAGTGATTTTGAGGGGTTGTACAATTTAATTGTTTTGGAACAATTTAAAAATTCGGTTTCCAGTCACGTTGCAGTCTATGTTAGTGAACAAAAAGCACCAACTGCAACCAAGGCGGCAATGCTTGCAGACGATTATGTGTTAATGCACAAACGCATTTTTGATCAGTACGAGTCCCAGCCAAATTACAGTTTGCCAAATGTTAATGTGTCGGACGAGATTGGGTCGCGCAAGAGTAGAGGATTCCAGTCAGAAAATAGAAATAATAGTTTGCGTGACTCAGATAAATTTTGTCAATATTGCCATAGACGGGGTCATTGGAAAGCTGACTGTTATGTACTTAAATCTAAGCCGACATTTGTTTCAGGTGCTTCGGCTAAAGGTACGGGTTTAGCGGCCCCTGTGCGTTCGTGTGACTCAAGTTCGTCTGATGGGAATACTTTTGGACAAACTAAAACTTTGTGTTCTGCAGTGCTGAATTCGTACCAGCCTTTTGTTAGAACAGGGTTTGTGTCTTTGTTAGGCAGTGGGGTAAAAGTGCCTGTCAAAATTTTAAGAGACACAGGAGCATTTGATTCCTTTATTCTGGCCGATGTGTTGCCCTTTTCTCGGGAGTCAGAATTGGGTAGCTTAGTGCCAGTTCGGGGAATGGGGTTAAATGTTTTGCATGTGCCACTGCATAAAGTGATGCTTGAATGTGATCTGTTTCAGGGTGAGGCCGCACTGGCGGTGCGTCCGGCGTTGCCGATTGAAGGAGTCACCGTTATTCTTGGTAACAAACTAGCAGGTGATCGGATTTGGCCCGATATCCCACCGTTGGGGGCGGTGGAGGAAAAACATTGGTTAGGTCAGGAGCTGGATGAAGGCAGGTTGGATTTTCCTGAAGTTTTTACGGCTTGTGCGGTAACGCGTGCTATGTCGCGCGTAAAAATTGATGAGGAATCTACCGCACTGTCTTGTGCGAATAAGCCTTTGAAAAGAATGTACTTGCCTTTGGCTGATTTCCCTTTGTCTGTATCTTGCAGTGAGTTGGTCTCAGAGCAACAGGGGGATTCCTCTTTATCTGAGCTGTTTCAGCACGTGAAGCCCGACGCTGAGATAGAGGATAGTGTCAGTGGATATTTTCTCCAGAACTCATTGTTAGTGAGAAAGTGGGTGGATCATAAAGGTAAAGTCCTTGGGGAACCGCTTCTTCAGGTTGTGCTGCCATTAAGATTTCGTGAGGCGGTTTTGAAGGTGGCACATAATGAATCTGGGCATGCGGGCGTTAATAAAACTTATGACAGAGTGTTGAGACATTTTTTTTGGCCTCGTGTAAAAAAAGATGTTTCCGCCTATATTAAAACTTGTCATACGTGTCAGCTTACCGATAAACCGAATCAGACGTTAAAACCTGCTCCGTTATTTCCTATTCCTGCAGTAGGCCAGCCGTTTGAACATCTTATAATTGACTGCGTAGGTCCTTTGCCTAGATCGAAATCGGGGGCAAATTATTTACTAACAGTGATGTGTCAGAGTACCCGTTATCCTGCGGCATATCCTTTACGCACGATAACTACTAGGTCTGTGGTTCGTGCACTTTCTCAGTTTATTTCGATTTTCGGCATTCCAAGGGTAGTTCAATCAGATCAAGGATCTAATTTCTCCTCCCATATGTTCAGTCAGGTTTTAAAACAACTTCGTGTTCGTCATGTTCAAGCCTCGGCCTATCATGCGCAGAGTCAGGGGGCGTTAGAACGTTTCCATCAAACGTTAAAATCCCTGTTACGAGCGTATTGCACTGAATTAGGTGGGGACTGGGAGGAAGGTCTTTCCTGGTTAATGCTTTCAGCTAGAGAAGTTACACAGGAGAGCTTGGGGTTTTCCCCGAATGAGCTTGTGTTTGCGCATAAAGTGCGGGGTCCCTTAGGAGCATTGGCAGATGGTTGGAAGGATGTTGAACCTCCTGTAAACTTGATAGATTTTGTTAATGGGTTTCGACATCGCCTTTATACAGCTGGGATGTTAGCGAAAACAAATTTGGCGTCATCTCAGGAGAAAATGAAATCGTGGTATGATCGGCATGCTGAGTTACGCACGTTTAGCCGGGGGGACCAGGTGTTGGCTCTGTTTCCGGTAATTAGTTCTCCATTTCAGGCAAAGTTTGCAGGACCTTATACGATTGTAAAGCAGGTGTCAGAGCAAAATTACATTATTGCAACTCCGGAGCGTAGGAAAAGTACACAGCTTTGTCATGTGAATTTACTAAAGCCATATTTTACTAGTGTACCTCAGCCTTCTGCGTGTAGTGGTCCTCATACAGTAGTTCAAGCTCAGGCGACATGTGTCGCGGTCTCTACAGGTCCAGTTAAAACTGACGGTAGAGACATTGAGGAAACATTGGATGAGGTAGAAGAAATGTCTATAGGTGGTTTTAATAACTCACAGACTTTGGCTGAACTGGAGAAGTTGTTTGCTCATTTGCCGGCGGCACGTGCGGAGCAGTTGACAGAATTAATTAATTGTTTTTCTTGTTTATTTTCTGATTCACCGACGTGCACTCATCTGATAGAACATGACATTGAGGTGGACGCTGAGAAGCCAATAAAGCAGAGATTCTATCGGGTAAATATGGACAAACAAAAGCAAA